TAAGATCCACCTTATACAATGTAGCAGGATGCTTCTAGAAAAGTTCTTCGGAAATCAAAATGTTTTGAAATCAACATTTTTTTAATGTAACTCAGAGTGGTCACTATTAAAAGAATTCTAAGATAATCACATTTGCAGTGATCACCCCAAAGTGACTTGTTTTACATGAATTTGTTTGCTTAGAATACTATCTCTCAATAAATCCAGACAAACAGGCTTAGTCACCTGCCAAAGCACGAAGCTCTTCCTCACAATATGAGAAAGCATCAGAATGGAAATAAAATGCTAGGCCACGGCAAAAGCCTGACTCTCAAATAGCCACTCCCATTATACAGTGCAGCAAAAACTACATCCACCAAGGTCTACTATCCAATTTATTATCGGGACAATGTCACACACATAGGTTCTCGGAGCACAGAAGACACAATAGGAAGTAAAATGAAGCATTTTATTTTAAACTATGAGTAGGCAGTCCTCGGGTTTTAATTCATGACATCAAATCTGAAATTTTCCAATCTCAAAAAGAGTGTGGCTTCACCACAGTGCTCAATTCTGCACCAAGTAACGCCTAAGATGACTGCTTCTCCTATTCCCTGAAACCTTACCTGTGATGTGTGTCTAAGCTTGAAGTAGCAGAAGAAAAAGGTGCTGAACATGTTCCCTGGCCCCAGAGCGGAACGGATTTACGCAAAGATATAAAAGAGCTGGCAACTGATTGCTATTGGTCTTCCATCTGAAACTGTGGTCATTTAAATCTAGACTTAGGGTTCTCTTTCTGGAAATTCCACAGGCATGGGGTCACAGGCTCAGGAGCCAGACTCCTCAAATCTGAAGCCTACTTGTGACCTGGGCAATTTACTTCTGCTCTCTGTACCTTAGTTTCTTATCTGGAAAATGGGGACAACACATAGGGCTATGGAGAGGACTGAATTGAGTCACAACACAGCGGCATGGGGAAGCTGGCCTGGGGCCCAGGAAGTGCTCATACACATTAGCTACTGAGTTACATCTGCAGTCATTACAAATAAATGTAATTCACACAGAATTAGTACTGTTGGGAATAAAACCCAGCTTACTAGCCTTGGTCACCTTAGTCACCACACTTGTTAGCTGCATAATAAGGTGAGAGTTTCTCATGGTCTCAACTAGGCCCCTTAATTTTCCCTTTTCTAACAACAAGTTCTAAGAAAGAGAATATACATATGGTAGAATGGGTGGTTTACTTAAATAAAAACTGTTGTTTTCTATTAGAACAAGAAAAGCACTCTTTTAAAAAGGCTCATAATAATACTCTCAAGGTAAACAAACATTACAGTCAAAGAAATAATGCAAACTTCTCCCCTGCTTCACTTTTACTTCCAAAAACTGTCCCTAAAAAGCATAAAGATATAAAGGGAAAGGGCATAAACAGCCTGAATATATAAAGCAATGTATTCTTCTTCCAAATATAACAGGTAACAACAAAGAGAGAGCCTTGCTCTGCTGCCGAGCCTCTGCTGTTCACTCTCCTGTCTCCACGGCTTCACCTACCAGACCCAGACCCCAGCAAAGGACCCAGACAGCTCCCTCACCAAGAAAGTCAAACTCCTGTGAAACAGAAATAGCAGCAGCATCTACCTGTTCCAAGGAAACATTACAAATATGTTTTTAAAGCAATAACCCTACTTTATAGTTAAGACCAAAAAAATTTTTTTTAATACTCTACTGAATTCAATGTTGTGCTCAGGTCAGAGGATATGGAAGAAATTAAATGTGAAGCCTAAAAAGTTATAGCTCCAGAGAAGTGGACAGTGCACATTTAAATGCCTACTAACCCACATGACAATCCAGGAAATGGTAATTCCAGTTCATTATTACAAAAGCATGAGGTTGCATACACAGAATGGATGCCAGGGGAAGCCCGGAACGGCTGTACACAAAGTCCCCACTATGTGCCAGGCGCTGTCTTAAGCACTTCGCACACTGACTCCTTTAATCCTCAGCACGACCCAGGTGGCAACTTCCTGCACGTGCCCTTCTGACCCAGCAGCCCTCACAGGGCACACGCACCCTGGGCTACACACAGCACGGCCACCCGCACACACGTGGGAAAACCCACACAAGACCAGAGGAGGAGCTCAGGTCATTAACCTGACAAGAATAATGGGATGAAGTGGCTGGCAGGGTACCAAGTGGCAGAATAAGGCAGGGGTTGACCTGACTTTGCATTTCAGAGGCAGAGGGTCAGTTCACATTTGACCCTCTTGGTGAGAAATCATCATTGCAGCACAAAACTGAGAAAATTAGCTATACTTCTGTATCATCTTAGAGCAAGATTAATGACAAGTGAATGTCCAAGTTCCATAATTAAAAAGCAGTATCTTTTTATAACTCCTAAAGCCCCTCAGAGCCTCGGTGTGACCCTGCTGACTGCGGCAATAGTAATGGTGGCCCTAACAACCACAAGTAAGTACCGAGTGCCCCATACTGCCGGCTGCCGCTAAGATGCCTGGATATGAAGAGCTACATGTGATTTCACAAGAGAAGATGAAAGATGAGGTGGGTTAACTGTGTATCTCCCTTTACGGAAACTGAGTCTTCAAGAGGCTGAGTGACTTGACTGTGGCTGGATAGTGACCTGGGAATTGTAACCAAGCCAGGGGACGCTAGAGCTTATCCTCTTCACATCTCTGGACAGTCTGAAGCTTCTGTCCACAGTTTTTTCAGTTGTCTCTGTTTAGCTGAAGTGCTTTTTCCATCATGCCCCTAGCCCGTGGGAGGAGGGCCGTTCTCTGGGGCAAGGACTAGATACACATACGTAAGGCGCTAACTTCAGTGGCTCAAGAACAAAACTCAGCATGAATCCTAAGAGCCGGTGAAGTAGGGGGCGTGAAGGCAGAAGAAGCAGGAATGGCCGAAGGCTTATAGTTCCCGAGGCCAGGTGATGGGTACAGGACGGTCTTCCTATTTTTCTCTACTTTGGGCTATGTTTGAATTTTTTCATAATAAAAGGGATAAACATGGCTCTGAGCTATTGAGAGTTTATTATGTTCATTGAGTCATCTCCTTTCATTTGTTTGGCTAGATCATACTTTTACATGCTGCCAGATTCAAAATGTTATAAAACACATGCACTATGTAGTTATTATATAATTTCCTTCCCAATTATCTTCCTAGTGTTTCTCTGTACAAATATACAGAGATATTATTTCTCCCCATTTCTTTCATAAAAGGTACACATAATATATACATTGTATCTCACCTGATTGCATTCACTCAAGCAGGTAGCCTAGGAATTCTCTTGTCAGTATATGGAGAGTTTTTCATTTTCCATTATAGTTGATGGGTAGATATACATACCATAATGTAGATATACCATATACCCCATTTAACTGGGACACCTAAGTTGTTTCCAGCCTTCTGCTATCACAAACAATGCTCCAATCAATAAACTTATATTGTCTGTTCCTGTCTTTTGCCCATTTTTATTTTTTGGTTGTACCAACCCTTTCTCACGTTTATTGACTTGTTGCAACAACCTTATAAGAAGTGGATCCAGGTTTCATAGGACATGAAACCTGTACAATTTGGAAGACCCTTTTAAAAATATAAAATAAAAAAGTAGTTACAAATGGGCATATTTCTTTAAAATTAAAAATTCATATCTATTCACTGGAGTCCTAAAGATTAAGGTCCTTTATTCTGGTATCTTTTTAGACAACTGAAAAAAATGCCTACATATAGAAATACCTGCTGGTTGCAAACTGGGTTCTCTCCTGCAACTCCCCGAAACATGCTGCACTTTACGGGGGCCTGAATCTTTAACTGCATGGGAAATCTGTCTCACAAATGGGGAAACTGAGGCTTAGAGATTACAATAACTTGCCCCAAGTTACACAGGAGAAAACAAGTTAGCATCATCCCATCATACAGGCCAGGACATCACCCAACAGGTTCTCCAGCACCTACAGAGGGGCAGACACTGAATCAAAGAGATGACTCAAGGTTTTTCCTTTGTGCTGGGGGTGTGTCTGCTTTCTGCTGGATTTTCACATTTCTAATAACCCCAGATGCTCATATTTCTCTAGAAATGAAACTGGGACAGCGGACTGTGATTGTTTTGGTCTAAGGACTAGATATGCAAAGACCCTATGCTAGAAGATAGAAATCTTCCCCTCCCACCCAAAAAAAAGCAGTAGATCAGGCTGATTAAACACCTGGAGTAAACTTCGACACTCTTCAACAGCAAAAACCAATCAGTGATTCTTAGCAAGAATGTTGCTAGGACGTGCTATAGTGATGTTTAATGTCTGGAGGTCAGAAGGCTGAAGATGCTGTGAGGACAGGGACAGTCCAGGACAGGCAAGGACGACCGGGCCTCAGATGCCAAAAGCAGCGACGGCTGAGGAACGGGCTGCATTTCGCCCCGGGCCTTTCTGGCTACTCATGGGACAGTAACAAAACGAGCAGCTCTGCCCACCGAAGACGCTGGTCTGGGGCACGCCCTCAGGATGCCTGTACTGCCCCTCCAGACCTCCCTTTTGTCAAGGACAGCCACACAGGTCATTTTCACAGCAAAATAAACCACAGGCTTTAAGAGTTCACAAGTCTTTCAGCCTCCTCTTCAGAAATAAAGGTTTTAAACTCATGTGTACTGTGCTTTAAACTTCCAAACACATCAAAAAATAAAAACCTCTCAATAATGCTTTTCTTACAGGTATGTAAATATCACCCTTATTCAATCTGAAAGGCCAAAAACAGTAAAACTTAAAGTAAAATTGTCCTTTCTCAAAAGGTTATATTCTAAAATAGCATTATTTATAGGATGATCTAACACAGATTTATAAAAATGATAGGGAAACATGTTCAGTCCCAGACCCAAATACTCTGTAACAGAGCAGCTCAGATACATTCTTAAAACAGAATAAATGCATTTATTAATTTCTTAGAAACAACTCTACATTCCTTGAAATGGTGATACTTGTGTAAACAAGTTAGGATTTTTTCTTTATTAGCTTTACCTGCTATTTGTACCGAACCATCCTCACCCAGAAGAATATTACCAGCTTTCAAATCCCTATTAGAAAAAAAAAAAAAAAGGAGAATGAATTGTGAGGTACAGATATTATGTTGCATTAATTCACTCAGAAAGATTTTTAAAAACTGTCATATAATTCAGCTCTTCAACGTAACTATTATTTTATAAATATTAAAATTATATCACAGATTTTAAAGTTATAAGAGTACATTATAATTTTATAGTTTGCTCTTAGGGGATGGTCAGTGTTTTAGTAACACATATTTTATGTGACATCATCATCCAGATTAAATTAAATCACTGGTGAGTAGATTCTTTATTTTACATTACAGAGTTAGAGATTGTCCATAAACTCACAATACTATCATTTCATCAAGAATGAAAGCCCATTCTAAGTAGAGTTGTGTTCCTGCCACTTAAAAGTGTCTGTGGTATAATTTTTCTAAATCTCACCAGCGCCTTAAACAATGGATTTGATCAGTATCTCCTCTGGGGGGATACTGATTATAAATACTAATTATAATATTCTATATTGAACTTCTTCACTATATATAAACCTTAACACTTAAAAAAGAAAAATTTACGATTTATAAGTTTCTATCTAAAGTAATATTTTTTCTAATAACTGAAAGACATAGTAAATATTATATATCTATAGCTCACTTACAGTTCAAGGCAGGGGAATTACAATATTAATATTACTAGAAGATAGTTATTTACCTGCAATTATTCCTAAGAGCCCAAGTTACATGAACCCATTTGAAACATTAAGCACTCATATTCTCTCTGCTATTTGGCTGTTTAAGGAATTCCCACTTTATGTCACAAAAGAAGACGAGATTAGTGCTGCCTCCTTCCCTGTCACTGCCGTGCCAGAAATAATTAGCACAATACAATGTTTGGAACTGTTCAGCCTGTATTAGAAAGTTAGAGATGTTATCCAGTTCAACTGAGTACACTCCAAGACTAGTATGTTAACTGGTTTTTAAATGAGTTTACTCAGTACTTTTTATATTTTGTTCTTACTTCAGAGAAAGTAGATAAGCCAGTCCTGAGGATACCAAAATAATCCATCAAAATCGATTCCCTATTTCTTTCCTAAGTACTTTTCCCCCCGTCTATTTAGCCTCTCGCTGTTAGAAATAATGTGGATACCTACCTGAAATAGGTGTCTCCTTAATATTCTTTACAAACTAGGACTAAAGATACAAACAGCTGAATTCAAACGTCTGCAGAAATCATACCTGTGAATCTGACCATTTCTGTGTAGATAGTCTAAACCTTCCAAAACCTCTTTAAGAATCGTTGCTATTATTGCCTCTTCCAGAACTCCGTTCTTGTGTTCTCCCCGGTTGACAATGTATTTTATGATGTCCAACATTGAGCCTAAGTGGACAGACAGAAGAATTGAAAAATTTATATAGCTCACTTACAGTTCAAGGCAGGGGAATTACAATATTAATATTACTAGAAGATAGTTATTTACCTGCAATTATTCCTAAGAGCCCAAGTTACATGAACCCATTTGAAACATTAAGCACTCATATTCTCTCTGCTATTTGGCTGTTTAAGGAATTCCCACTTTATGTCACAAAAGAAGATGAGATTAGTGCTGCCTCCTTCCCTGTCACTGCCGTGCCAGAAATAATTAGCACAATACAATGTTTGGAACTGTTCAGCCTGTATTAGAAAGTTAGAGATGTTATCCAGTTCAACTGAGTACACTCCAAGACTAGTATGTTAACTGGTTTTTAAATGAGTTTACTCAGTACTTTTTATATTTTGTTCTTACTTCAGAGAAAGTAGATAAGCCAGTCCTGAGGATACCAAAATAATCCATCAAAATCGATTCCCTATTTCTTTCCTAAGTACTTTTCCCCCCGTCTATTTAGCCTCTCGCTGTTAGAAATAATGTGGATACCTACCTGAAATAGGTGTCTCCTTAATATTCTTTACAAACTAGGACTAAAGATACAAACAGCTGAATTCAAACGTCTGCAGAAATCATACCTGTGAATCTGACCATTTCTGTGTAGATAGTCTAAACCTTCCAAAACCTCTTTAAGAATCGTTGCTATTATTGCCTCTTCCAGAACTCCGTTCTTGTGTTCTCCCCGGTTGACAATGTATTTTATGATGTCCAACATTGAGCCTAAGTGGACAGACAGAAGAATTGAAAAATTTTTGTAAACACTTTCATTACACATTACCAGGATAGGGTGCCACTGTTCAGAAAATTAAATGCGAACATCAAACTATGTGTTTTTTTTTGTTCACTTAGCTAAGGCAATTATTCCCAAGGCATACAGACAATTACGTGGCAGTGTGCGACCAGAAACACCAATCCAAGCCGGTGAGAGCTCTTTCAGTGTGAACTTAATGAGAAGGATTCTGGGTCAGGAGGCAGAAGATTGTTCAGAGTCCCTTCGGGGTTAGTCCGTTTATGTCGATTTAGACATAAAATTGGTTATAGATTCAAAAATGGGCTTAAGATGTCTGAGCTGAAATAGAAAGGAGAGACCAGGAGGACAGACAGCACTGAACTGCCAAGAGAGAGAAGCACAGCCCTTCCTTAACACCTACAGCACAAGTGGGAGGGGAGGGCAAGGGCATATCACCTCTGGATCCCTGCTCGGCACCCAACAAGTCCTCTGCGCCACTCTAGGCAATCTTTATTTTCATTTACCTGATGCGTTATGTACAGACTTATAATAAAGAAATAAATAGAGTTCTTTGTTACTATAAACAGATTAGTATCCTTGGCATTGTGAGTTCATGTTTCAACACATATGAATTATATTCCAAACCTTAAGGTCATTTTAAAAGCCATTAATTACCTAAGGGTTCAACATTTCTGAAGAGTTAAGACACGGCTTACCTCAGCACCGGAATTTGGCTCCTGGCTCTCCGATTAGCCAAGAGGGTTGAGGTTCCCCATCACGTATGACTGTACCAGACAAGCCACCCACCTCTCATTAAGAGATTTAATGTGATGGAATATTACAGAAGAAAACAAATTCATATTTTCCCCCTCAGAGAGAAACAAAACAGCTATTTTATTCAATAGCTCTTGGATTTTAGGATAATTTAGAAAATGATACTTCCAAAACCATTTGATTTTTATCTTATAAGGATATACTATACCAACACGTATGCATTTCTGGCTTGCTGAAAGAAAAATGAGTGACTTCACATCTGCCTACATTCCCCTTACCTGTGGGAACCTGCTTCTTACCTAAAGCCCAGGGAAACTAAACTGGATTATTTTAAAAGGACAATGAAATGTTCTATCAAGTTCTCAGGCAAGAGGACATTGAAAAGCCCAAAGCTTATGAAAGGTTAATTGGAATGAAAATAAAGAGAGGAAGCAAAATCCTCAGCTTGAGCAGAATATTTGAGGCTATCCAGGATCCCGGGTCACCAGAATCCTTGTTTCCTCAGAGCTGATGGAACCCTACAAGAAGAGACTAGGTTTGAGATCATCTTACTGACAAACCACCATCTTCCCAGAACTCCGGGGCAGTCCCAGCACTCAACACGTGGTCAGGCTCCAGCGGGCTTCCCTGTTCTTTTTCCCTTCCCATTTTCATTCAAAACCAAAGGAGGCACTCAAGGAAACACAGACTAACAGGACTGACAAGACTGGGAAGAGAACCGAGCTCCGCCCGCCCAGGCTCCCCGCTGAGCCCTACGGAAGTAGACCAGAGGCAATCACAGTGCCTTCCTCATCCCCGCTCTGGGCCTCTGCTGGACCCAAGAAGGTTTCCTTTACAAAAAAAATTCAGATGCCTCCCTGATTCAGCCTTAGCTGGAAGTAGGTCTGCAGATTAAAATGGGCTCTGCAATATGATTTCTGCTACGCCAGTTCTGGCTCTGTCCAAGGCACCACAAAATGTTCTCTGCTCCCTAAACCCTACTTCATGTCTCAGAAAGATACCTAAGGAGTGAGGGATGTAGGTGATCTGGGTGTTACAAAGGAAATCACTTGGGTTTTCTAAACTTTAATTTTCAGGTCTATAAAGTGAAGGTTGTAATATTTGCAGCATAGCATAGCTTGTAAATCAACAGGTCCTGCAGTCACAAATTCCAGCACTAACAGTCACTATGTGTGTGACCTTGGCCAAGCTGCTTAACTCTCTTGAGCTTTGGTGTGCTTTCTGAAAAACAGGGATGGTGACACCTGCCATTCAAGGATGTTATCCAGATTATATGAAATAGGCAAAGTGAATTGCTTAAACAGGAACTAGCCACAGCCTAAATGATTTATTACTCCCTATCAAATAGTGATATTAAAAGATGGAAAGACATAAAACATAGGAATGTGAAAGTACCTTAGAAATGAAATAGTCAATGGCTTTTATAACCAGTGATCTGAGGCTGGAGAGAGTTGCTTTCCCTTACCAAGTGCACACACAGAATGAAAACAATGTCACTTTATTCTCTAGGCAAATAATAAATCCAGCAAAACTTTTAAATACAGGAGTGAATGGATCAAATCTAAAGTTTAATATGCTGGCTCACACCAAGGGGGGAAAAAAAGCAAAATGCAGGTAAACAATGACAAAACCCACTTACCTCCACTGAGTAATTTCATGACCAGCCAAAGTTCATCTTTTACAACAAAAGAGGTGTAATACGTCACAACGTTGGGATGGCTGCACTGACTCATGGCTTGAATTTCTTTCTATAAAGAGCAAAACATGACATAGTACCACGGGGTGATAATCAGAAAGCAAAACACACAAGGGAACCCCAGTGGAGTACCTGCCTGGACCCCTTTCCTACTTAAAAGCATAGCTGTGGGGCTGCTTAAACCTAGTTCAAAGAAGAGACATGAGAACGAACTCTCTCACAGGAGAACCAGCCAAAGGACCGAAGGACTTGAGACCAGCGTTATCACGCTGCACAGAGCCTGACCCTACACGCCTAAGTGCCTCCTACCTGAACTGAAGGCTGACAGACAGAAGAAAGACAGGGTGAGCAATCAGGGGACTGAGGCCCCGGGGCCAGCCTGAGCTCTGGTGGATCTCAGCTCTCCCCTTACCCAAAAGGGGACAACTGAACTCTTTCTGTTTCTCAGGACTGCTGCAATAGTAAATGAGAAGATACAAGTGAAAATGTTAAGAGTATCACTTCCCAAACTGTATCTCACAGCTGATATTCCATCAAGGGGAAAAAACAAAAAACACATGTGGAGAGGCAGACAAAGTGAAATAAACTTGGGAAACATCAGATATTATATGTCACTCTAAAAGAATCGCATGGAATATTAATACTGTGAGAGGCTGTGGGAAGTCCTACAGGAAATAGAACTGTCAGGTTGAATCTACATGAACAGTGCAGGAAAATAATGCTCTGTGGGTCATCATTTAGGAAACACTGCCACAGAGAAGTTTTAGAGAGAGATATGAAATAACAAAGCTTTGAAATCAAACAAACGGGCAACTTCATTAAACCACATTTTTCTGCAATACTGACGTTCATATTGCTGCAGTGTGTTTCAAGTTACTGCCAGGGGACTCCTATAAAGCCTCGGCCAGTGTTTACCCTCAGCCAAAGGTACCAGACTGGCTAACTAATTTTCAAGGTGTTGCCCAAAGGCTCTAAGAATAACCTAAGCCATCAAAGGAACCTCATTTATGCTATTACGTATTTAGGATGAAAGAAAAGCATTTTTATGTAGCCTATGAATATTTTCAATAATAATGAACATCTCGTTAACTTGGAATTAACTTAAAATCACCTGGCCAGAATATTCCAATTTGTGCAGCAATCTGCATATATTAATTACTACTCAATCCTCAAACCACCCAGGCCCCTGTATGTCCAATGACTTGGCCAAAATACCATGACATGTAACACATACACATACCATAATAAAAGTGTTTACCTAAGTGCTTTTTACCAAGAATAAACTCCTAAAAAAAAAAAATTGCAATTTTTTTTCTGTTTTCTTTTCATTATATAAAAGCACTTTCCCTTCTTCATACCCCTCATCCAGTTAACCAGTGACAGGTTTTCTAAATCTGATACTTTTCAATTTGGCAACTCCTGTCCTTCGAACAAGATCTGAAACCTGAGGTCCAGTTTCCATCTGTTTGTGGTGTTAGGTTTTGATACCATAAGATGCTTGCAAAGCAGAAATGGAACACTGCCCAGGCCAGTCCTATTTCAAGTCACCAGCATCTGCTCACGGTGGGGCTGTCCCACTTGGAAGCCCTGACACTTTAAGCAGCATCCAGTTTAAACAGATGCCTCCATTGTTCACAGAAATGAGAACAATGTTTCTTGAAAGTAAGTGTGCTCTATACGCTCCCTGTTTTGTATTTGATGTAAAGGAATGCCTAAGCACAAACTTGGAAATCATTAATCACCATGCACGATAAACAACCAATATTCATATGAGAGGAAATCCTTTGCATTGAAGCAAAGTTGGGATAGAATCTGGAAACACACATTTTCTAGCCCATTGCATTTAGTAGCCAGTATCATTTCCTATTCAGAGTATCAGGTTCCCTGACACTCCAGCGAGCAAACTGCATGTGTGTTGCATGTTATGTGACAGACAGAGTGAGGGAGACAGAGAAACTCTTTTAGATAACCTCTGGATATAACTCACCAAATTCTATCCCTTCAAAACTGCAGATCCTAGAAGTACCAAATGGACATTTAAACGACCTGGGGATTTAAAAGAAAAAAAGGGGGGACACAGATACCACCCCTACTAACACCCCTCAGGAGCAGCCTAAGGGCAAATCAAAGAAGAGGAGGGGCCCAGCGGGGCAGCTGTACCCGTCTGACCACCCATAACCTCGCATTCTTCCTCCTGCTGCCCCGGGGTCCCTCTTCACCAGGGGGCCGAGGCAGTCGGTGTCCCCACTCCTACACCACCTGTTGTACTGCACAGCCTTTCCATGCAGTACAGCCTCTCACGCTGAAAGACATGACAGAACCCCGGTAAGGTTTCTGGTCGCTCTGCCTGAGACATGACCTACGCCATCGCTGAACTCCCGTAGGTAATACTGCCACACACAGGGTAGAAATGCACCTAAGAAAGAACTAGGCGCTCTACCTATCTGCCCTTCTTTTCATGTGTATATAAACTTTTTGCTTAGTTGCCTTCTAGACAGGTACAAAATTTATGTTTTTATTTTGCTATGGTCTCAAAGTTTGTGTCCCCACAATTCATATATTGATGGTATTAAAGCAGAGACTTTGAGGGGGGATTGGTCGCTAGGTGGAGCCCTCATGAATGAGGTTAGTGCCCTTATGGGGGAGACCCCAGAGAGCGCCCCGCCCTCCATCACAGAAGGAGCAGGGGGGAGTCTGAGCCTGCACAAGGGCCCCCACCCTATCCAGCCGGCACCCTGACTGCGACGTCCAGCCTCCAGAACTGTAAGAAACAAGCTTCTGTGGACCATATGCCACCCAGTCTGTGGTATTGCTGTTACTGAAGCCCAAATTAAGAAAATTTTATATTTTTATATTTTAAACTGAAAAATATAAGTATTTCTTGAATTAAATATTCTTTTGGCAGAACTACTGTCTCCATTTCTTTTCAAACCAGTGATGAGCAATGCTGTTTGAGCCCCTCCTTGAAAAGTCTACCAGCCACGTTACCCACAGTCCTCTCAGTGCCCGGCCTTCCTCACGGGGCAGGCAAAACCGTTGATTCCCAAGCATACGCATTTCTTCCTCTCTCTAAAAAGGATGCAAGTATTCCCCAAAGATGAATGAACTGGATATGAGAACAACAAAAAAAACCTTTTTATCCCATTCTTCTTACAGAATGAACGGGTTCAAAGGCTATTCCCGCCATCAGGATGCAGCCGGGAATCAGGGCGATCTGGAGCACTGCTTCTCGAACCTGATGCTCACAGGGATCGCTGGGCACCCTGGGAAAGGCGGATGCTGATCCGGCAGGTCTGGGCTGGGGCCTGAGAGTCTGCATTTCTAACAGGCTTCCAACTGACACTGATGCCTTGGGTCCAGAGCCAGTCTCACGGTGGCAAAGCAGTCGGAGGCAGGCAGAGAGGCCCCTGGGCGGAGGGATGAGCAAGGGAGGAGCACCAGCAGCCGGGGAGGGGGAGGGGGGACCCCCGCAGGGACACGGCCTGGGGCGCCACCCCGCAGCAGCACCCCGGCAGGGACACGGCCTGGGGCGCCACCCCGCAGCAGCACCCCGGCAGGGACACGGCCTGGGGCGCCACCCCGCAGCAGCTGGCCCCAGGAGACGGGAGGAAGCGGGGTATGATATTAATGCAGTTTGAATGTCACAACTACAGGAAAGGGTAGAAAATTCAAAGGGTGAGAAAAGCACCAGGAAAGGGGGAGGAACTCCCTGAGCCCTGAAACCCGCTGACACACTGGCCACATCTAGAGTCAAGGAAGACAACCCAGGGGCTCCCCGGGAAGTCCAGAGAAATCAGACAGACGGGTCACCAAGGGCCAGACCAAGCTGTCGCACAGCATTTGACCTTCCCTGTGGCTTCCAGAGCCGGATCTGCTCATGCGGCTTCATCTGAAACACGTCACAAGTGAAACTGCACAAGGGTGGGAAAACCCACCTAAAATGGAGTCGCAAATAGGAGGCCTGGGCATCTGCTAAAACCGAAGCGGCAGCCAGAGCAGCCCCCCTGCCAGGAGCGACATGGGCAGAAGGCAGATGGCAAGAGGGGCCCCCACACTGCTGCTGGGCCAGCCCAGGGCATGACACGGGCCTCTATGTGCCCGGCCTTCACTCGGTTTCGGGGGGGGATACAAAAACGGGGTATCCTTCTGGAAATAGTGTTGACTGGGAGGGGAAAAAACTGCCACACACACACACACACACACACACAAACTATGTTCCCTTTAAGAAATACTGTGCTTAAATATTTATTTGAGGGATTTTCTAATATTACTGTATGGCCTTTGTTTCCCCTGCACCCCCAAGAAAGTATTTCTCCTATAAAAAATATGGACAGGCCAGCAACCCTCACTAACAGGGACATGACTCAGCAGGGGCCTCTTCGGAAGTTCCAAACCTTAAAGACGCAGCCGGCTTGGAGGCTTGGCTATGCCACTAACTGGATTGACCATCTGGGCAGGTTACCCAGTATCTTTGAGTCTCAGCCTCCTTTTCTGTAAAAGGAGCTTAATGATGCCATCTACATAGGATTGTTGTGAAATAAGATTTATATAAAGTGCCCTGCCAAGGGCCTAGCATAGAACTTGAGGGTTGAAAGTCAGGCTCTCAGTGACGTAGTCCCTTCCTTTGCACGTGAGCATCCCTGTACTGACCACTCATCTTAAGCATCCCAACTTCCTCCGCCTCAAAGACAGAGACAGACCTTCGCAGGGGCAGCACTTGCCTTTTCCTACAGAAACGTCACGTGAGGCGCTCTGAGTACCCTGCAGGCTGCAGGAGTGCCCCGTAAAATGCATACAGGTCACTGGGCCACGAATGCAGCTTTATTCCTGGCTCCACATGGTCCCCTGTTGTAGCTTTCCTAATTATCTCACCCTACATTTAATTTATATTTCATGCACCCTAGGTACACTACCTCAAACCCTTGTGGAATAGGGAGTCTAAACAAATACTTATGCAAAGGGCTCAGAAAAGAGAACTGAAGTTTGAAGATGAAAGAATTAGGAATAAGGTAAGACCCAGTTCCTTTTGTCTTTAAAACCATGACATTCATA